CTAGCCTCATTAAAGCGTCGCGTAGCATTTTAAATCTAACTACTAGCAACTGAATTTTAAAGTTTTCAACAGCCTGTAATTTTTAATTCGAAGTGGGCGTCCTTGCCATGTAATGCGACTACATCTCTCAGATATCATGGGAAACATTTACTGACTGGAATACTAATGAAAATAAAATTAGGAACCGCAAAGAAAATAAACCCGAATCTGTTTCACGATGCGGTTTATGGGGTAAAAAGTGGACGCGTTAAACAAACAAATTGAAACAATCGGATATTGATTTCACCTGGAAAATCAATTAGAAAAAAACAACATTTTGAATGCTCTAGGGGTTGAACGCGAGTCGTACGACCTGGCTTGACAGTACAGAGATGAATAACAATTAGCATTCTTGATAATTTTATATTCTTTTCAACGACAAATTTCCGATGCGATGGAAAACGCAATCTTTGCGGTTTTCAATTTCTCGCCCGCACATTTTGAGACCTGAAATAGTAATGCATTTTTGTCTTTTTCTGTCATCGATATCTAGTGAAGTAACTAATTAACTAAAAGATCGGCCGCTTTGATGAAAAGTTTCAATGCACAAACATGGCAAAAGGTTGCGTCGGTCTTTTGAATTAAATCTTAAAAACTATTTTATCAAAATCTTTGGCGAAACTTGACGCCCTCGCTTTAACAAACACATCGAAAAATAGCTTTTGTTGCAGCATGCTGGGTAACTTGTTATACAAGGAATCAACCTCTTACGTCAATAAACAAATAAACAACTTATTTGCTCGTTTTATTGAAATAGTTGTTTTTACATTGTCAGTTCAGCGACATTTTTGAATCAAATGTTATGTTGTCAGGTCTGACATGTAGGTATTTACTACAGAGTGGGTTATGATACGCGAAAATATCTCATACCACGGTGAATAATCAATTGTATCTTGTAGTGAACTGGACTCCGTCCATTAAATGAGAATGTGACGTCTTTATTTGTATTTTTCCTTCATTTCCGTGAATTGAGAGGATTACCGTTCTATTGTCCCTCGATAACATCTCTGATAAAAATATTAGTAGCTTATAAACAGCGTAAACTAAGTTTTTAAATTTCATGTCTTCCTTATAAAGTAAAAGATATGTCCACTGTGAAAATAAAGTCGAAGCACCAGTGTGTCATTTAACTTTCCGGTTCTAATTTTCTCACCACATTATGTAAATTAAAAATGCAGACTTTGGTCTCAGTAATGATAAATATTTTTGTTTTGTCCATGGTCTGATATCTAACTGATACAACTTATATACATCGATCGTTTTGTTGAAAAGCATTAATATCGGTTGCCCAGTAGATCGCTGGCGTTAGTAATATTTCGCAAGGAAGTTGTTACAAAGCATGACAATGAGAAGCCGGTAAACAGCTTTAGTTATACCACGCCCGTTATCGTGTGAATGTGATATCAAACATACCTTTCGCATCAATAAGTAATGTATTAACTCGTTCCATTAAAATAGACGACTCTCTCTTTTTTTTCTGCTGAATCAAATGGCTTTGAAAAAACCTCATTTTTATATTTCTTTTTTAAGGTTTTTATCATGAATACTAGCCACACAAACAGTATTCAAAAGGATTTTGACATCTGAAACTTTTGAATCAAGCTTTACATTTCCTCCCGGTCAGATCTATTAGCATATTATTACTGACTCTTTTGTGTTATGAAAAATATCGTATTATACACTGAGCGACTTCGTTTATCAGTTGGAAGCCGTTTTCCAAGTCAATAATTTATAATGTAGGTTTGGTTCGACATAATCCCTTCAGACACTGGGATTAATCGTAAGCTCTATTCCAAACTACCAACCGAAACGAAAACACAGATGTTCTATAAGAATGAATATATGCATGAAATGAATTCTGAATGTATAACTCCACAACAGCTCGAAAAAAGAATCGTTTTTCTTACATTAGCTTCGATTATGTAACTTACATGAACATTAAAACAATTGTCGCTTAAATGTTTAATAAAAATTATTTTGCTACCATGCCGGTTTATCTACATAAAACGGATGAACAAAAGAAATAAAATCGTATTTTCTCGATTACACGCCCCGATGTTTATTTCAGACTCGGACTTTTGGACCCAGCGTTTATTTGGCGCCTGCGTTTTACCTTAGACTGGTGTTTATTACACAAGTGTATTTGTTAATTATTTTGACATTCAGATGTGTTAGCTCGGGGTGACTTAATACTTGGGGGGTGTATTTACAACACTAACTTGGCAGACGTATGAGTTTATTCTGTAGCCGCCGTTTACTGCGCATTTCAATAACATGCGGACTCTAAAATTCAAAGCTCAACCGACAAATCCGTTTTTCTCTACCGTCAATCAAATGTTCGGCGGCTTCTCCCAGCTTCCGACTACTTCCGAACACTGTTTCGTTGTCTGAACTGTGCTCAACAATTTTATTACCGCGCGCTCGGAAGCTGGGAGGAGCCGCCGAACGTTTCAGTGATTGACGGTAGCGAAAAACGCATTTCTCGGTTAAGCTTTGAATTTTAGAGTCCGCGTGCTATTGAAAGGCGCTGTAATGGAGAAAATACGTTAGAACCGTATTTTTTAGCTGTTAGGGAATCAAACAGTTGAGTAGGATTATTTACATTTGATATTTCAGTAAAAGAGAGCGACGTTTCGTTCGACTAATGCAAATATTCGAAGTAGTCGTTCGGGAACGATTATTTCAACATTTGAGTAGAAGCGTGGGATTATTATGAAAAAAAGATGTGGGTTTTTTGAGTCCTCCCAAAGTGTTTCGTTCTATACCACCAAACAGCTTTTTCGTTTGGAAATACTGTGAGAAAAAGAAATAAAAATCTCGGGGATGGTGGGGGGGGGGGGGGGATGCTATAACTGGTATGTTAAACTTTCTTCCAAAAAAAAACAAGAAAAATCGGAAAAATTACCGCAAAACCAACATTTACATCGACATGACCTAAGTATCAAAATACAAAGTAGTTGTCAAAATAGCAGTTCTCAAACTGAAACATTCCTTACTTGCATATCTGTTCATATCAGATTAATGATAGTCAACTATTGTTCGACGATACCAATTTCGAATTCATTGTCATCTTCGAAAGCCGCGAGACCTTCGAGAGACTGGCTCACGTAAACTGGAGAATGGTCTTGTGGTCGCTAGAAGAGGGTGCTAGGAAATTTACAGCTTTCACATAGAGTACGAAACGATCGAAATATGAGATTTTGCATGAGGCGGAATAACTGTTATGTGTATGCCAAGTAACGGTCACTATATAGATGTAGCAAATTGCGAGATGCCTTTTAGTAGAAAAAAAAAAAATGGTTTCAAGTATTGTAATGATGTGTAAAGAGATTCCGCTATCGTGTTTACATCCTTGTTGCCACCCAATTGAGATCACGTGTTGCTTCATTTGGGAAGTTACAATTGTTTTGTTTGTACATACTCCCGTGCAATCAGTTGCGCCAGGCAAATTGCACAATTGTAATCTCCTAAATGAATCATCACATGGCCTGAATAGAGTAGCAGCAAGGATGTAAACACGTTAGCTGAATCCGTCAATTGAAAGAAAAAATTATTATCTAATTTAAGACAAGCCCTGCCTCTTGGCTAACCTATAGCCATCCTATTTTTAGTAGAAGAACTTGCGTAACAGATACCCGGCTCAAAGACTGACTCAGAACATAGTTTCAAATAGTCTTGTTGACCTGGAAGTGTCGCGTTCTTCTGTCGCACTCTGTAATTATCGCTGCACTTTTTGTAATTAAATCGTCGCACTTCGTAACACCTGTCTGTTTGTGTACTGGTCGCACTTACTGAAAAAATAGCTGTCGCACTTTGTAATGAAAGACTGTCGGCACCCTGTGATGATGGGCGTCGCAAATTTGTAACTTGCTTGGATGCTTCATAGTTTGTGGAAGGCCAGGGTCATTACCTACCCTCATCTCCTGATTACCCGCTTTTTGAATCCTTGTACCCGACTACCAATTTTATTTAATTTTTTGTGAATTGTAAACTCCGCTAAAATAGAAAACATAAGTCCTGGATGAGTTTATCTTTTTTTGTGAAATGCGTGGAACAATTATAAATTAAAATACCCGAATGCAAGGTATATCATTTCCGAATCGTTTGCATTTTCAGTGAAATGTCACGTACCATGGCCACAATGAAAAGTAAACTGGAAGTGTCAGATCTTCGCGCTCAGTCAACTCACCCCCAAGCCGTTTCGCGCGTGGCCTGAGACCAAGGGCATAATCATCCCGGACTCAACGAGTCACAAAGGTGTTAGAAACAGAACAGGTAAAAAGAAGTACGGTATATTCAAAACGAAATTACGTTACCATCTTATTTCGTGAAAAAGCCAGATTATGCTAGCAGTGCTAAATATACATAAAAGCTAAAAATTATGCTCGGTTTGCTAAATTATACCAAAGATTATGCTAGCACAATCGATGCTTTTTTCCGTGACCTTTGCGTAACTGCTTGACACCAGCAAAGACACTCGGAGCAAAGAAATTCGACGTTCCACTTCCCAAATAGCGACTGAGCAAATAGATTGACAAGGAAAGTTTGCGGCTGGTATAACAGGTAAGAAGCCTGCGTTATGTTTAGTTTGTTTCAAGATTACCATAAAGTACAATCAGTATAACGCAATATTTGATTGTGATCTGTGTCAGAAGTCAGCATTGGGAGAGCGACCGTCCTGTAGATATTAGAGTCGGCATTCATACAATTGAATTCCATAGCGCGACAATGTTCAAGCGTCCTGCTAATGTTATGTTATATTAATGCTATGTTGATATTAAGGCGTACAAAATCACGCACAAAATCACGAAACTAACAAGCTGCGGCTTGTAGAACTGCTTGTGAGTTTTGTGCTTAATAACTGAGTTCGACACGAAGCATACTTGCATATCGATTACCTAATTACATCATTATTGTTATTGATTGCTTAGTATTTTGGAAGACGAGATCAACATAAATTTCAATACATTTTTATATGATAACACTTTTTCGAACAAACAGATATGAATAGCTATGTAAATAAAAGTAAGACATTGTGCATAAAATCACTGTCTGATGTGGCTACACGATAGATAAAAGAGACCGGAAACTCAATAATAGTCAATCGCATTCATCGAGTTTCTTAAATAAAAATATTTTTTTTGTTGTTTGATAGATCGGTCGGTGGGTTATGCTAAAATAATTAGACAGCTCGATCGCGGTTTTTAACGAATTTGAGGATTGTCTTCAGGTTCCCCCAAGGCTCGATTTTCGCCTGGCGCTCTCTCGTGTCCGGTCGCGGGCTCCTTTCCCGAACAACGGCAAGTAATCGAGCCTAGGTTCCTCCCAACCGATATCCCAGCCGATAGTAAACTCAAGTCTATCTTGCAACAGCCTGTAGTGCAGGCGTTTTCTGTGTGTTCACGAATTAGCGGTATCAGCTCGCGATCAAGTAGATTCGCCACCATGTTGGCTTAGAACCCCCTCCCCGTTACTCCTCTTTTAGCCTAACTCCCACTCCCTAGAACGCCTTTCCGTCTCTCCCCTATCTCTCTCCAATCTCTCCTCTTCAATCCAAGATGGCGCTCGCTTGATCAGAATGCGCTCGCTCGCCAAAATACGCCTGCGTTGCAGGCTATCAGGCTATCTTGCAACCAGAGCCATCTCCCGTGGTGTGCAATCGATGGCAATCGATGATCGGAAAAACGCTCAATCAGTCAATCGATAAAATTTAATCAACTGGTATCGGTCATTCGATGATCACTCGATAGTCACTCGACTGGCAACAAAGGTCGCACGTAGTCAACATTTACTTGAAAACGGAAAAGATGGTAATCCCACGCATAGAGATTTCAACTTCTTCGGTCGGCATTACAATAGTTACAGCAAGTTACTCCCATGTACAGTGGTGCGAGGGGTGCAACGTGTTATATGCTTGGTGTTGAGAAGGTTTACGGTCGTTTCGATACAAAGTCGTTTCGATACAAGTCGTTTCGATACAAACGTCGATTCGATGAGGAACACGGAAACGCGTTGAGAGTAACTCCCGATGGTGGGCAGCTCGGCCACCTTCAACCCGAACTTGTGGATCCTCTCTAGCCAATACATACAAATTTCTCTGTTAAATGTCTCAAGAATTCATATAAAATCTGTTAACGATCTACATGTCCAAAGATATGATAGTAAGCGCTTATCCCCAACAGCCTGTCGGTTGTAAAGGGTGACGAAATTTGCATCCAAATGATACCAATCGATACCAGTTAGGCCATCGATTGTCATTGGAAATCGGTGACAATAGATAAAACGTCACACAAATCCTTTTCATCCATTGGTCATCGATTATCAGTATCAATCTATCAATCGATATCGATTGCCATCGATTATCGATTTCATCGATTTGACACCCCAGGAGAAAGCCGGGGGATCTGCCGAATCGTGTCAGCTCTTCCTTGAATTCGCCGTTCCCCAGAAATTGGCGAGAATCGAACAAGCTTTTCGAAGTTAATGAATGAACTAATTTAAGCTTTGCGCAAAGGGTTGGTGGTGTGCAATTTATAGTAAGATATTTCATCGGATTTTCATATTTTCACTCACCTTCATCTTCAGAAACGACTCCCAGCCGATTAACAATTGGCAATATATCGCAATTGAAGATCGTTATGGTATTAAGTTAACCAGGTCGACTTTAAAAGCATTGTTTGCTCACAAAAAAAAAAAAAAGAAAGAAAGAAAAGAAATATGCCAGCGCTCTGGACTTTTGTTCCCTTCTCATTACGTTTTTTCCTCTGCAACCGTTATAAATAATATAAATGCTACGTGTTAATCATTACACCGTACATCCATCAACTACGGCAGTTCCGATTGTTTTCGACTAAACATATTATATCCAACTCTCGTTTACTCTCTATTCAGGTCTGAGACTTGACGCAAGGATAAAATGTCACTTAATGAAAACCCCAACGTGTTCCAAACTATAACTTCGGCTGACGATCCCATAAACTACCAAGGAAATAATGTTGATGGTAACTGTGAGTCATCCTACGACGAGGAAACAAACGTTATAGATTCAGGAGAACGTGACACTATGCCAATGTGGAAGGCAGCAGCTAACTTTATCTGTGACGTAGAAGGAACAGGTCTTCTGAGTTTACCCTTCGCAGTTTTGAATGGCGGAGTTGCTGCATTGGCAGCATTGGTTATTGTTCCCGTGATATGCTGCTACACAGGTACGATCATGATACAATGTTTGTATGGAGACAGCTCTACACCCGGTGGACGGAAACCACGTCTGCGATCAAGTATTGAGGAATTAGGGGAAGCTTGCTGGCCTGGAATTGGAAGAAAGGTTGTTCTAGCACTGCAAAACACCGAGTTACTTATGCTGTCAGCCTCGTACCTTGTCCTTTGTGCAACATTCCTAGATTACGCATTCCTTACCCTGCCATTTACAAAGATCCTGTGGAGCTGCATTGGTGCAGCTGTGGTACTTCCCACAGTGTTTCTTAAGAGCCTCTCAAACGTAGCTTGGTTGAGCTTAATTGGTATCCTGTCCGTATTAGTTCCAGTGGGTTCTGTCATGTGGTATGGTATCAGCCACAGCTCTGGTTGGCAACTAAGCTCGATTCCACTTTGGAAACCGGAAGGGATTCCTGTAGCATTTGGGATTGTTTTATTCAGCAATGCGGCCCACAGCATTCTTCCACGGCTGGAAGGAGATATGGCGAATAAGGGGATGTTTAGAGTCATGCTAAGCATTTCATACATATTTATAACTTGCCTTAAGATTACATTTTCCCTCTGCGCGTTTCTGTCATTTACGACCGATACGAAGGACCTTGCTACAAACAACCTTCCCCCAGGTGTGGTTTATTACATTTCATGTGTGTTTCTTGGAGTAAACGTGTTGGCGTCTTATCCATTTCCCATTCTTATCGTTGTGAGGTCCATTGAAGATGCTCTGTCGCCAGATTGTTTTTTGGATAGACTGCCAATGGCTGTTCGGTTTGTTTGTGTTCGAGTGTCTTTGGTGCTTCTTACTTTGGGCGCTGCGGCGCTAATTCCACACTTTGCATTGATGCTGGCTTTTGTTGGCAGCTTGACTTCTTCCACAACGTGCTTTGTTTTGCCTTGCTTGTTTCATCTGAGATTTAAACATGGCGAGTTACGTTTCTATCAAAAAATCCTGGATTATTTCATCATTTCGTTTGGATTAGCTGCTGCAGGGTTCGGCATTGTTTTCTCTGGAAAAGCTCTGGTAAAAGCTTATGAAAAAACGTAAATAAAATTTTCACGAATGGTACGAAGACTATACCTATGTAAGAAATAGACTAATTTCGATATATTAAAATTCAGTCTAAAACGATAGACCTCAGCACGAGGCTCTGGGGAATAAACCCCACAAACTCTGTAGTTATTTTCCAGAGCCTTTTACTGAGGTCTATTGTTTTAGGCGGAATTTTAATGTATCGAAATTGGTCTATTAAGATATATTTTAGAAAATGGAAAGCCATTTGGATATATACAATCGAAAATTAATTAATGATTTATCGAGTTTAAACATAGGATATCATAACAATGAATGTGTTTGGATATCTAATTAGTATAGATTTTATGACGATTATATTTCTCTATTTTCACCTTAGTTTTAATTTGAAGTTAGGTTTTTGTTATTGTTATCGAGTTTCACTTCGCGTCGTAGTTTCAACTCTCTCCTTGCATTGGGATATGTAGTTTTGTGGTAGTAAACGGTCTCTTGCGTTCTATGCATTAAGCAAATTTTGACTAGCTAGTTGCTTATCTCAGAGCCCGTACACACTACGCGGGAGAAATTTAAAAACGCAGCTTTATTCCTACGGTTAGGCCTACCGTCCACGCTAATCCGTCACGAAAACGGAGCTTTTCGAAAGCGCTCTTCAAACCGGAGGAATTTGAAAACACCGGCTTTGCGTTTTAGTGTGGACAGAAAACATTTAGAAATCGAAGCTTTCCGGTAACGATGACGTCAGGACTTGTTTGTTTATTTTTTCCCTCAAACAGAACTCCAAAATGACCGGTGATCGTTGCGTTTTCAAATTTCTCCGGCGTATTGTGGACAGAAAACATTGTATTTGATATATTTTCAGAGTCAAAGCGCCGTTTTTACTTTTCTCCGGCCCCTAGTGTGAACGGGGCCTTGGGGTTTAGTTTAAAAAAAGCCAAATTCAATCGCCATTTTTGTCTTCAAACTGAATTTTGAGCAACGTTTGTCTCCTAACAGTTGAAATAACGCTTCGTTGGCTCTGAAAAATGATAAAATAACACGTTATTATTTTTTTTGACATACAGTATAAGGACCGGAGCATAGATTCCCGAAAATAAAGTTTCGATAATTCGCAACTGGGTATAGCGAGTGAGGTTGCCCTCTTTCCGGAAATTCTAGAAATGCTATTTTATTCGCCTCTGGAAATTTTCGGAAATTTAAACTGCACGTTTTGTTGAACTAGAAAGCGCCCGTAGTTACCGAAGGTCACTTGTGAATAAAACTATTAATTTTACCTTAATTACGAGACCCGTAGCGTTTAAAGGGGGGAAACACCCATATAAAAAGGTCGGAGATGCTCGTCGTCTCGATTAGGGCTGTAGATCAAGGATTCTGGCCTCACTTAGAGTGTTCATGACAAAACGCCACTATTTTTATCCGAGATTGGTCTCCTTTAAGGGTTTAATCCAAACTTTCCGACGATCATCTCCCGGACCTTTCCATATGAGAGACTCCCCGGGGGCAAAAAATCACTTGTTAGTTACAATTATCAAAATGTAAATTCCCTTAGTCTGGACGATCACTACGTCAACATGTCGCGCTCATTCTCTCAGTTCTTATAACCTTGTAGGCAATGCAGCTTTTAACGCCTGCAATCTGCTAGATTGTTTTCGAATTTTTGTTTTTTTCAATCGAGGCTTTCACATTATCAGCAAGCCGTGTTTGAGACGCTGCGCTCTTGGAATACTACTGGCATAAAATCACGGACTGTGACTGTGAGCAACTAGACTCAATCCGTCCATGCACCCAACAGTCACACAAACTAAAATCCGCAGGGCTTTCAGTTTTATGCGGAAGTACTGACCGTGATTATTGACTTTTAACAATGAAATAAGTTCAAGATTACTGCATGATTGTTCATTTTCAAGGTCATATATGAGATAATAGGAAATACTGTATCTCGTGTAAGAAAATAGTATCTCGTGTCAGGGCCTACAATAAGCTATGCAACACTTGGTTCTACTCACACGTGCCATTTGAAAGAAAAACGTGGACAACTTAATATCCCGTATCACAACCAGATCGCGAGAAAACGTGTTCGGCTCACGAACGTGTGAAGTCGATTTAATATACTGAAAAAAAAAATATGGTAATCATCCATCTGCTTGTGCATTAAAAGACAGAAGCTTCTAGATTCTCGACTGAAAGCCGGAAACAAGAGAAAACGACAGAAACAATGAATAGAGAGACACCGCACTTGAAAGGCACATAAGCGTATATTCGTTTTTGCATTTTACTAGTTGTAATAACATCGTACCAAGTGAAAGATTGTTAAAAGTGTATTTACATTTGCTTATCTTAGATTCAGATTCAGATAACTTCACTTGTCGTACGAGACAATAGGGTGGCAATCGTTTTGTCACGGCACTGAAATGAAATCGGCTTACTCCACGGAAGTATTTTTCTTTTTACTTTCTGCCAAAACACATTTAATGATGATCACTAAGAGAGCTTCCAAAGGAAATAGAAGTTGCAGCGAATCAAAAAGAAAGATAGGGACGAGGCAAACAAAACCGTAAACGGGCCACAATTTTAAAACAATTTTTCAATCTTATTTGAAACGTTTTCAGATGCACGTCATGAAAAATGCAAATAAAAATGTTGCATTCATTTCAAAGGATCACTCTGAAAACTCTGAATAGGTTTGACATCAGAACAAAAGACGACATAAGCAGCGAAATACCACGCAAACCAAAACCGAACTAAGAAAATAAAACAGGCGAATCTTTCTTCAGCAAAAATTTGATTAGTAAAGGTGTGAGCCAAAGGGCGTAACTGCAATGATATTCTTTGAAACAATATTCTCTCGTCAAGTTGGAAATAACAATAATCATATTTATGGTTAACCATCGGATCTTGAAGCTTGTAATAACGTGTCCCCTTAAACCACATTTTGCGACCGGAAATTTGAATTTGTGCTTTTACTAAATTGGAAGTGATAGCTTTGGTTTTATCTTTTGCCCTTCGGCAACGATAAATCGGTTGATTAATATGACAGCTAAATGTAAAAAAAGGTGGCTCAATATTTCTCTTGCGTTATAGTGATGGTTGGAAATTCGAGTCGCGCCAAGACCGGAAAAGACCATCAAGAGAAATAGCTAATGAAGCTCAATAATTTTAACTATAAGATCTTGACCAACAATGTCTGGCTGATGTTTTCGCAGGAAGGAAGCACATCTTCGTAAATAATTCATCATTTCGCACCCTTTGTAATTGTTGCAACAACGTTCCATCTTTTTCTTACAATAACTAAACAAATTAATCCATGTTTTGCAAATCTATGTTTTACAAATTCAGTGCACGTTTTACAATATCCAGCCTAAGTTTTATAAATCCAGTCCATGTTTTACAATGCAGTCCAGTTCAGTCCATATTTCACAATATGCCTCGAACAAGGCTATTCGTAGCGCATTCTCACCATCAGTTCAGCTACTTACTTGGACGATTTTTGTTTCAGCAAAGTTCTTCCTGTTTTAGATAAAAAGTTTTGACAACTGAGAAAACGTTATTCAGCTGGACCCGTAATATTATCGATAAATACTCTTAGATATGCTTTCCGTGTCAAAACAAATGATAATATCAGTGCCGTCATGTTGGTACACCACTCAACCGAAATGGTGGGCCCATTCTGTGCTCTGTAATTTTCCGAATCGTGTTTTCCCAATAACATGGTTGCAATGAACAATGCAAAATTAAAATTTGGAAAGCGTACTCCTTTTTCATCTACTCTAAAATCTCCGAAGTAGCCGGCATTTTAAATGGAAGTAAAGCAAAGTTCTAATGATTTTTGTAAAAACGATCAATCAGACCAAATTTAGTTCTGGGGAGTTTCATTCGCAGACAGTAAACCTCAGGGTTTGTAGGATGTAAATTTTGTTTTTATTTATCCCTATTCGGCCCTGGGGAGAAAGTGAGAGGCGGAAATTGTCCAGGCTGACGGAGAACTTGTAAAAGTCTACAATATCTAACTTAAAAATGCCAGCAACTCCAACAGGTCACTATACTCGGACCTGGCATCCGTATTTTGACAAACATGTGCTTTCACATTTGGAATTTTACTCTTTTGATTAACATAATGAACCTTTCATGGAGTTATGTTTGCATTTCATGAATTTTTATCATTGTTATATTGATTGTTTTTAAGTCACGTTTACTGGTTTTCTGATGTTTTGAAAAAATTCAAGAAACCACATTGGCGAATCCAAGATGGTGGCTGTTCGGAAAACATTTGATTTCATCTCGTGTTGTTTACCTCAAAAGCAACACTCTTCGAGATACCATAACCCCCAGGTTTCATTATCTCGGAAAGGTAGCGGGGGGGGGGGATTCTGCCCACTTCCGGTCGTGGAAGATAAAAAAAGCCCAGTCGGAATAGTTTAAACAAAGTAATGCGACATTAATTGCAAAACTTTTAACTAGTTACTGGTTGTTTGTATCGTGAGAGTCCGGTTTCCAAGAGCGCTTTCCATTCAAAATTTAGAAAAGGAGGCAAATGGTACGAAAATGTCTTTCGAAAGTTTCCAGAAAATCCAAAGATGTTGAAATTGCTGAAATGCGAATCATTCAAACCAAAATACCGCAAATCGAATGGGACGGAAATTTCCGGTAATATGTTTTCGAAAATTACGTATACTTCGCGTGAGACACTTTCCATTCCACCAAAAACTCCGCTTTGAATGCGCACAAATTTCTTATCCGTATTTTCCGGAATTTGAGGTAAAGAGGACAACCTCACCAGTTGTACTCAAATTTTCGTAAATTTCTTACAACGACTTTCCATTCCATTTGATTTTCCTCTTGCATTTCCAGAATTTTCGGTTTAATTGTTCGCTTTTTTGAAATTTAACAATTTTCGGCTATTTCGGAAACTTTCCAGAGAAATTTCCGCGTCATTTGCCCCCATTTCGAAAGTTCCGGAGTTTTTAGTTGAATGGAAAGCGCCTGAGGTTGTACTCTGTTCCGGAAATCCCGAAAAAGATCTTCGATTCGCACAAGCACAGGTAATTCTGGAACATGGAACATGCTACATTCGTTCGGGAATTCTGCGCACCATTTGACCAAACCGTGAACTAATCTGTTTCCCGTGTAAATACCAATCAACCTTAGTAATGCTTGAGCAGTTTATTTTAATAAAATCCTATTTTGATCCTACCAACTTATATTCCGTGATAAATTAAAGAATGCAACTTCAGAACATGTTTTAAGTAAATGTTTATGATAATTAGACACATCGTTAAAAGTTAAAAGCTAAACCATCATGTCTCTCATAGCTTAAGCTAATGTTTTGACTCTTCTGTATGTTTGGGTTTACCACATCAAAAACCTTCGTTGGAAATTTTTTAAACAAATTACGTCATGGCGTCATAACCGATATTATTAAAAAACTTAAAACGCTACGCCGCAAGTGTCTCTGAAAGGTTAAGCTCATGTTTTGACTAATTTTTGAATGCCTCGGTTTGCCACACAAAAATGTTGGGTTGGGTAAGTTCTAAAAATATTATTTCATGACGTCATAGGCCATGTTAGGAATGATTTTGGGGATTTCTTCAACTGTTCCAAGCAGTATCACTGAAACTGCATCCGCTGCATCAGACTTGAAGGCCATAATAAGTTGTTTTTATGTGTTCCAGCTGACACTTTATGAAGAAAAAGCTGGGTGCGTAAAGCCTGCACTGATTACCGGGCTGTGAATGATTGGGCAATTCATTGGACTTATTAATATTCGATTGTTGTGATCACAGCGTTTCACGGGATTTTCATCTTACTTGAACTACAACGCGTGACTAAAGAGTAGAGTCAGTTTATATCTCAAGGAAACAGAAATGCTATGTGAAATACGCAATGTTAAAGTCGATCGTAAAAAGCCTCCAGAGTTATATTTTTTCTCTAGAGTTGCAGGATACTGGCGAAAAACAGTTGCAGCTGTTTCTGTGGATATGCACGTTTTCAGAACCAAACTTGAGACGAATACACGTTTTTCGTTAACAATCGCGCAGCCTATATTTAACGTTGTCTGTTTGAGTGGAAATCATTTGGGCTTTCAGCATCTCCTACTGGACGAATCTACAGCAAAACTTCGTGAGAACTTGGTGTAATACGGAAACCAAAGTTATGGACCGCGAACCAACAACGGTGTTACAGAGGGAAGAACTTAATCTTGGCGATCACAAAAAGGTACATTGGGCCTACAACCTGGAAGAAATTGTGTTCTTTACCCCTTCCAGCGTTGAGTGCGAAGAAAGAAAAAGCAACACGGGACACTCAGTGCTGAAGAGGTTAAAAATTAAGGCCCGTGCTTTAAAGAACTCAGACATTTGCGATGATATTTTGCAAAAGATGCAGGAAATATTTGAACGACTCGGTGGGAAAATTTCAGGACACTCGGGCGAGTTTCATATCACAGATTTGAAGGACTTAGACAGGTATTGGGATGAACTGTTCGAGATCTATGGAGAATGCAAGCCTAGATATCAAGAATAAACTACAATTTACGGTCGCCTCACAAGAACCGTCGATTATGTAAATCTTCGTTTCTTGATTTGATATAGGAGACTCTTGCGATGCCTCGGCATCGGTATTGCATATTGCAGATTTGAAGGACTTAGACAGGCATTGAGAGATATGGAGAATGCCAGCCTAGGCATCAAGAATAGTTTTGTTCAAGTTACGGTTGATTCACAAGAACTCCTTTATTTAAATCTTTGTTTCTTGATTTGAAGTAGGACGACCCTTGCAATGCCTCGGCCACACCAGTATCGGCATTGCACATTGCAGATTTGAAGGACTTAGAAAGGTATTGGGAATCAACTCTTTTAGATTTATGGAGAATGCAAACCTAAATGCATGTGTCAAGAATAGATTACAATTTACGCCTACTTCACAAGAACTTAATTAAGTAAATTTTTTTCTTGATTTAAACACATTGTTTCCATCATGCTGGTACTTAAATTCCGCACATTGGTATAATAATCTTAAACCAACTGAAAGATTGATATCAAAACTGATGAGTAATCTCAACCCACTTAATTTTCAGTAATAAACTGACATTTGAACGAATTTGTCTGTGTGAAAGTTGATCCTGTTCAAAACCCTCAAGTAGGTTCCATTTATTTTCAACTTCATACACTGCTGCATCTCTTCGAGATCACTGATATACACTGTAAAAAGCGAATGCATTTCATCTTAACATTTTTTCCCTTGTCTGAAATGGCATTGATTTGCCGGAAAAGCACAATTATGCCGGACACAGAAAGGCGAAAATGTAAATTGATCGTCTTCAGTGAGGAGAAAACAAAGACAATGTCAACCACAAGACAAAGTAAAAGGATTTTTTTCGAAATTTTGGCCACTGAACTGAACGTTTCAATTCCATTCAAGGCTAAGCGCCTCGTTGAAATAAAAATGTGTATGGTATATAAACGAAAAACCTGTAACTTTGTAGGGAAAGGGTAAACTCCTCACCACTCCCCGCCACTCCCACCCCTCCCCCCACCGCATCTTACAGGAAGTGAAATGTGATATGTCTTTGTTGTCCTTGATATAAAAGCATCAGCAGCAGACGTTTTGCTTAATTTGCTGCTTTTAATTAAAACTTCGTTTGTCACTCATTCGGTGTAATTTTTTTCTTTAGTTTGGGAGCCATCGTCATCTCTCGCGTAGTGATTTCTAAACTTGCCCTAGATGACTATGAAAAAAGCAGGAATATATATTTTTTGTCGCAACATTTTGGAAACCAGGCCACGGATGTCACCGCCGCAGACCCGAAAAAAATGTTACAAACCAGGCCACGGATGTCACCGCCGCAGACCCGAAAAAAAGGCTACACAGCATGTTAGCTGACAGTTTTAATGAAACCTTTAAGGCAGGGACGGTTTATTTTCAGTTAATATTAGGCCTTCTATGCCATTATCGTATCGTTGAAAGCCGACTTCCAGCAGGTTTACCCACCGTCCGGTCAGTGACAGCTATTGCAGCTTGGCCGGTTTAATAATCTTAAACGACGTCGATTAAAAATGAATTTACATTTTACCTCAGAATCTTGCAACTACATAAATCTTTCGTGTACCGACTTCAGTCGGACCAAAATCTCCAGCTGAATAATAAAATATAAATATATATCTTAATTGCTCTCTCCCCAATGGAGCTTTTCAGCACCAGTGGAAACAAACGAAGATACAAAAATTATTTTCGTCGTTCAAGTTTGCCAACCATTAACAAATAGGCTCTAAATTTTGAAATCTTTGTGTTTCACATGGTTCCCAGCGAGGAGAGCTTATGGGAACGAGGTTGTCTCGTTGGTTAATCAGTCTTGTTCGCAAGGCCCTTCCTGATCATCCCTCGAGAAGTTTGAGCAGGGCCTGGGATGAAGAGGGGTGGACTGAAGTGTAGTTTTTGTTTGGAAGTGGTTAAGCAATAGGCCATATTCGTATTCTCGGTATTGGACTGGAACTAGCTTGCAACTGAGGCTGATCCTGATGCGCGATGATATTCCCCCGCATGAGCCTCCATTGCAAGCTAGTTCCAGTCCAATACCGGGGATACCAAAATGGCCTAATGATTGCGCCATGAGAGGGGTTACAACTTTCGAGGTGCTCTCAATCGCACGGTTAACACTCCACAAGGGAAAGAGCGCACTCCCTATTCTTTGCCTCACACAAATCGGACTTCGCGAGTCTTCAAAGTACACAAAGTTTGCGTTTTTCCTTGAAAACGCACACTTTTCGATGCCTTTTTGCCTTCCGTGCATATGAATCCGAGAATGCTCAAGAATGCTCTGCAGGGTGCCTTCATTCGAAATGATGCTTTTCGAAAATTTCATGACAATGAAGAACTCTGCGCATGCTAAATCCGCTCATTGCCCAATATAATTTCGTTTTCAGCGTTTTAGTGTGCACAGCAAATCAATGCAAAAACGCAAAACTGTCCGGATGCTCCTTCGATGAGAGGAACAAAGAAAATGGAGAGGTGTTGCTTGTCAAAAACGTGGTTTTACCTCAACGTTCGTATAAGAACAACTGAGAAAAGCCTCGCACGTACCTACAAGAATTAAGAAAAGCCTCGTAGACCAGGTGGCGTTCTGCTTCGAAAGTGAACATAAACAAAGATAACTTTTACATACCGAGAAAGTGCCAAGTGTGGAAATGTTTGTTTTGTTTCAGAGAACATACTTAGGCCAGCCTCGAAGATTTCATTTCGTTTATCCACGTAGAAGGGAACAAATGTTGTAACGGAGTTTTTGCACTGTAAACCTTTCTTTTTTTTGGTCTAAGTTTGGTCTTTGTTTTTGTTTTGTTCGATTTTGTTTCTTTTCATATTGCATTTTAAGTCAGACAGTGCGCGGATGTGCACATTTTAGATATAAATGAATTCAAATATGGCAAACCTTCTACATGGAAGTTTGGTTTAAGATAGCCTGTAATTTTATAATTATGATATTTTTTTTTTCTATACGCACTCCGATGCCCTTGGCTAACTTTGAAGTTTGTCTTAAAGAAAATAAGAACACAGACGACTGTTTACTAAGAGCTACTTATTTAGATAATCTCCTTTATTTAAAAGTAAAAATCTAAAGGTAAAAATTTCAGGGCAGTCCCTTCAGAGAGCTTACAAAGCATCTCTACTATCAATAGGCGCCCTTTGGCTCGGGTCAAAGGAGAATAAGACAAGCCATGAGTCGTCTCTTAAAATATCACTTGTGTGGTCAACATAAAACAACGATACAGTTGAACGATAAAGAAACAGTTATCTTGCAGGCAGTTCTACTGTGGAGATAATCGAACTGTCCAATACAGTGTACAGTGCTCTTATCAGTCTAGTTTTCCACTGAAACGGTCAAATCTTTGAAAATTACAACACTGCATTGTCCTGAAATCTTTCCCACAACTTGGTCACATTTATCCCGCACCCATTGAATAAAATCTCCGTCACCAATGTCCGAGAGAGATGCAAACCGTTTGTTTCTCAGCGCGTGGGGCTTTTTCTTGAGCTTCGCTTGCATCGAGTCTGTAGTAGCTATCTTGCCCTCTGGTTCTTGAAACTGTTGAAACTCAAAATCGGCGGAGAAGTACTTAACTTCTTCCAAGTTGAATGCCCAGCTCACTTTTTTACGATGTCCAAAATTGATTTTTTTACCTGAGAACGCTGTTGATGGGTTGCATTCCATAACTCTGATTTTGCTTTGGTGTTTACTGCACCAGACAGTAAATTTTAAGTTGAGTAATAAGGCCAAAGCAAGGGTTTTTAAGTATGATTTGCTACACCAGATGTGTCTGGCCTGGAGAAATGGAAAAGCGTGAAAATGCATTGATATTGTATCTATACATGGTATTGCTTCATATGTTACAGTTCAACAAAAGAAAAGCGAAAAGCTGCATGTCTCTGGAACAATGAAAAAGCCGTGGAACTACTTTCCATAAAAGTGCATTGCTTCTAGAAATAGAGTGCTAGCTAAAGGCGAGTCCAGTTGAGGAACCATAGACAAAAGACAGGTGGAACTACTAGCATTCCCTTAGTTTCCGCAAACGTGTTTTGTTCCTAGTCAATACTGCAGAAAATCTTTTTCACTTTGTTTCACTTTTCGTCTCTTAAATCGTCACCTGAAATTCCCCAAGTGGTTATTTTGTTATTAGACGCAGTCTTGAATGGAAATGACGGTAAAGAGGCACTTTATTTCCCGAGTACTGATTAAAAATCACATGTTTCATTCAGTCAATGTTAATTTTTATGCATTAGAGTCTCAAGCTACAGATGATTCTGAATATTTTGGCAGCTGTCGAGCGTGGTCGCTTGTATCCATGCATGGTATTGCTTCAAATGTTACAGTTCAACGAAAGAAAGCGAAAAGCTGCATGTCTCTGGAACAATGAAAAAGCCGCGGAACTATTTTCACCAAACTTTCGTAAACGTGCATTGCTTCTAAAAATAGAGCGCTAGAAATAGAGTGCTAGCTAAAGGTGAGTCCAGTTGAGGAATCATAGACAAAAGACAGGTGGAACTACTAGCATTCCCTTAGTTTCCGCAAACGTGTTTGTTGTTAGTCAATACTGCAGAAAATCTTTTTCACTTTGTTTCACTTTTCGTCTCTTAAATCGTCACCTCAAATTCCCCAAGTGGTTATTTTGTTATTAGACGCAGTCTTGCATGGAAATGACGGTAAAGAGGCACTTTATTTCCCGAGTACTGATTAAAAATCACATGTTTCATTCAGTCAATGTTAATTTTTATACACTTGAGTCTCAAGCTACAGATGATTCTGAATATTTTGGCAGCTGTCGAGCGTGGTCGCTCAGCTACATGAGTTGTTTGTCACCTTTCGAGCGTGGTCGCTTGTATCCATGCATGGTATTGCTTCAAATGTTACAGTCCAACAAAAGAAAAGCGGAAGGCTGGATATCTCTGGAACAATGAAAAAGCCGTGGAACTATTTTCACCAAACTTCCGTAAACGTCCACTGCTTCTAGACGTGAAAATGCATTCATATTGTATCTATACATGGTATTGCTTAATATGTTACAGCTCAACAAAAGAAAAGCGAAAAGCTGGATGTCTCTGGAACAATGAAAAAGCTGTGGAACTACTTTCCATAAAAGTGCATTGGTTCTAGAAATAGAGTGCTAGCTAAAGGTGAATCCAGTTGGGGAATCATAGACAAAAGACAGGTGGAACTACTAGCATTCCCTTCGTTTCCGAAAACGTGCTTTGCTCCCAGTCAAGACTGCAGAAAATATTTTTCACTTTGCTTCACTTTTCGTCTCTGAAATCGTCACCTCAAATCCCGCAAGTGGTTATTTTGTTATCAGACGCAGTCTTGCATGGAAATGATAGTAAAGAGGCAGTTTACTTCCCGAGTACTGATTAAAAATCACGTGTTTGATTCAGTCCATGTTAATTTTTATGCACTAGAGTCCCAAGCTACAGATGATTCTGATTTCTGAATATTTTGGCAGCTGTCGAGCGTGGTCGCTCAGCTACATGGGTTGTTTCTCACCTTTCGAGCCTGGCTACTAAGTATTCTCCATTGCGATTCAATTTCCGACCACGAACTAGTAACGGAAAATGTAGTGTTGCCCAGTGTTGACGAGAAAGATATTCAAAAATCATCGGAAGTGACCAAGTATAAGTATCGAAAGAGTATCTAAAGACGAAAATGATCGAAAAAAGTGGGTTAAAGACAAGAGTTTTAGATCTCTATTCAGTGTTCAGTCACACCTATTTGGTTACGCTCACAGCTTATGTAACGCATGGTCTGAAGGAGAACTGAGCCCAGATATAGAAACTTCTGTTCAGTTCATTCAAACCACTCTTAAATAAACAGATGATAGAGGTGACGCAGCAGGTCAGCTTTCTGTGCCGGTCTCCAGTTGCCAAGTAGTATATTGACACCAAAATCAACTGGTGTGGTGTTTCTGTTTGGACTTCTTTGGCTTCTTGTGTGATCGTTTTTGATCGTCGGACGGCTGAAAAGAGCAAAGCGGATCAATGAAGATGTGCCTACAGTAATGATATGGAGGCAGCGTGGCCGAGTGGTTAGGGCGCTGGACTTGAAATCCGGAGGTCGCAGGTTTAAGTCCCGCTCTGACCACTAAGGTGGAGTTGTTTCTCGGTAGACCCTAGTTCAACTCCTCGGTCATGCTTTTAAATAGCCAATTGGTCTGCCTCCCGCCAGTTGGGATTTTTAAACCTGAGATATTTGTTTCTTGCAGCTTAAGTGGCATGCCTGTGAACTAGCTACGTGTAGCTGAGAGCAGTGACCGCTATAAGCATTCAACAACAACATTCATCATTCTAACTTGGCTATGAGGCTTGGGAAAAAAAAAAACAAAGTAAATTAGTAATTTATCCCTCAACCTCGATGTGATTTCTATTGTTTTATTCCTCCTAGCCTCGGGGCCAAGTTGAAATAATTGGCCTATCATGTGACTTGACAAACTCACCTTCGCCTTTCGCTTTGTACTTGTCACGCTGATCACGCTAACATTGTTCTTACTGCTGCTAAGAGCCTGCTGCCATTCTTCATCCTTTCCCGATATGGCAAACCTAACACGAAGAAAAGGACTACTTAACAAGGTACAGGTGCAGGTGCTGGAAAGCAATACAGTAAAAACCGCATAAAAGAACAAGTGGATTAAGAACACACAGGCTGAAATTTGGTCAAAAAAGTGCCATACACATAAGAACACATTCAGCCTGAAAGATGAAAATTGTTCTTATATAAAAAATTAGCTGCCAGTTAGATTAGAATAACCTACTAGGGTACAATACTAAGTACAGTACTGAGTAGATCAATATATGTGCAATACATTAATTAATTAAAATGTTGTGCTTGCGCATTGATTTCATCTGTTGGTAGTCTATGGAGTATTTGATTTTTAGAAACAATTTTAAGAACACCTTAAGAACATTTTCAGGCTGATTTTGCAGAAAACACCAGACAAAATCAGCCTGAAACCCCAAAACATGTCTTCTTTTATGCGGATTTTTACTGTAGTTACACAGCCTGTGAAATCCCCTGGCTGTCCATGGGAAAGAAACAGCCATGGCCAGAAATTCCGGACATCGCAACGGCGCACGCGCGAGGTTACTTGACAATATGGCCGCCAAACACTCAAAGGAAATGTATGGCAGAAATAAAACAAAGTAAAATAGAGCACGTTCTGGCTTACCGGGAACAAGCGCCGCGATCCGGTAGAGTTCTTGAAAGTTTCCTCGGCTATTCTGATAAGTTGGTTTTCATCAACAAATGTTACTGGCCCTGCTTTTCATCGATGTTTATTTTCGAAGCTTGGCCCATACAATGCTCTACAAAACAGAGACTTGAAATCCCATTTTTGCATCCCAAGAAGATTTTGATCCTCTGTAGCAGACAACATAATCGGGATATCCCAAGTGCCGCGATCGTTTGAAGAAAAGCAACGTATTATGTACTATTTGACCAATTTTCACCTGCGATGCTGATTTCTTCGCTCTGCTTTTTGGTTTTAAAAAGCTTTCAAAATGACGGAAAGCAAGTTCGTAAACAGCCGCGCTAAAATCCCCAAATCCGGTGTCTTTGCACGGCGATATTTCGGCTGCAAATGGTCCGATTTTGCTCCAAAAGACAATTTTTGAAAGGTAATTTTCTCTAGTTTTTACTTTCATGCAATTACTTCGGTCAGCAGTTATTTACATGCCCAACAACATCTTTTTGTACAACAACTTTTTCTGTAATGTCGTTGAGCCCGAAGTACGTCGTACTGAACAGCGGTATGCACCACTAAAATGTGTAATAGACGTATGCCGCACGAAAATTAACAGACTCGATGTCCGGAATTTCTGGCCATGAAAGTGACCCGACCAATACAAAGAAAATCAATATCGTCAAAATAGTGTAATTTACAAAATATATAATTTAATGTATAAATTAATGTGAACCTACTCGCTGAGATCAAGATTTTTGAGTTTTTCCAGCTCTTTCTTTTGTTTTTCTTTCAATTCCTTTGCAGCTTCTTCCTGAAATTTCCATATAACAGCATCTTTTGTAAGTAACTAACAAAGTCCTAATAACGCAAAATATCATGTCACAGCCATGCGCCCAGTGAAGGTGAATTACATGTATACATACTTTATTCGTCCCAATTGGGCTTTTTAGAATAAAGGTACAAAAAATAAATAAATAAACAAATAAATAAATAAATAAATAATAAATAAAACGATATATAAAGGAAATACATGAGTGTGTTCAAGACTCTAGAAATTTGGAGATTAAATGTTTTCTTAAAAGGTTATAACTTGAGTCTAATGTGTTCCGAAGTTTAACAGTTCTATAGAAGAATGTTCTTTGTCCGGTTGCGGTTTTGTAAAGAGGAATCTGTAAATGCTGCGAGTTTCTTATTCACAACATTGATGAAAAAACTTAGCACGTGAGATTAAATTCTAAACAAAGTACAGGTATGCTGGGTTCTTCACAATGAACTAAAAGGCTAACCAGATCCTCTTGAAGTCCCTGAGCTAACGGCTCCATCGACACTTCCTTTCCTTTGGTTACTTGGCTGTCGAAGGATGACTCCAGAACTGAATTAAAACACTGAAAACAAAAAAGACCAGCCAAGATCAATACCAAAGAAGACAAAAAAGGATAAGGTATGAAGTTCAGTAAGATCAAGGTAATGTAAATCACCTTCAATCAAGTTGTAGCCATAGTTACAGTCGTTTCTTCTTCCGCTCCAGAACGATCTGAGAGTCGACCCGAAAAATCCCGTACTGAATGAAACGCGATTGAACCTCGAGCTATATCGTTCATTCTGGGGCAGAGTCTATAGCTGTGTGCTGTAGAGGGGAGACCGTTGTAGTGTTTCAATAAAAGTAAAAAGTATAAATTGCTGCGCGGTTGGAACAAACAATCCTGGTCGATGTGACAAGGTGACCGTTATAGAGAAGGACTGTGCAGGTTCCATCGTAGTTCTGCAGAGACCATGTTGTTCCAGGTGGTTGTTTCGCGGTGGTTTTGAATTTCCACGCGCAATTCAAGCAGCAACACCCAACAGGAGGAAGTTCAAGAATCAGAATCAGTTAAACTGATTCTGTAGAGCACCGCCATCAGTGTGGTATTTTTCGAGTCGAATCTTTGACTTTTCTACAAAGTAAAGAGGCTTACCTGGACAGCTTTTCTAATAGTTCTGTTAAACAGTCCAAGGAGCTGAGAAGAAGGTAGCTCCAATTCCTTCTGAAGAAAATGAAGCACAATAAAATAATTACAAAGATGCTACAAGGTTTACACTGAATCCCCCCAAAAATGTGGTCATATTTACAGAAGTGATGAGTACCTCAAGGGTTTCTATTGTCTTGTGTTGAAGTCCTAGACCAAGAAGAATCGCCTGTCAACAACAAAACAGAATTCGTTGTTATTTAGAATATTACTGAATACCACTGTTACACCTTACTCTTTACTTGTATGACACGACGGCACGTATTACAAGACCCCTCAAAACCCTGCTATTTCGATCAGTACACGAGAAACTAAATACATTTAACACTAATTCAGGAAATGTGATGAACTCAAGAATATCTTAAAAACAAATAGTAGCTGTAATAGATGTCAATCAACTTGGCCATAAGGGTTCAACAGTCGAAAACATGCACAACAAAACCAACACAAACAAACAATAGACTCCCAGAGCGGGTTCGAAACCTGTCGGACGAACTGAGCTACCAAGAACTCTAGCCTGGTACGCAACGTCCCTTTATAGGGCCAATAGTGATGTGCGCCTTACCCATACTGGACATACTGCTAGGAGGAGATGCGTCGAAGGGTAGAAGTGAAAGATAAGAATCAAACGCCCTCGACAGGATTCGAATCTACGACCTCCCGCAGATCAGTGGGACGCCCTAACCACTATGCAACTGAGAATTTCTGGCGAGCTAGGCTATCGTGCTACGTTTTATAGTGAGATGTAATAACAGCGGGCAAGAAAAAGAAACACAGAACAAAAGCAAAAACAAAAGTGACCGGGTAACTAAATATTTAGTAACGCTATACTACACTTACGGATTGGACTGCAGAAAGGTCGAAGTCCAGCCTCTGAAGGAAAAACATCCTTGAAACTGCGAAAGAAAAACAGTAAGGTGAAATAGGCATTTGTATTAGTGCCATTTTGAAACATCACTCATAAACAGCACAGTTTCAACTCCTTACCCGCTGGAAGCAAATCTGTGATTAGATGGTAGTCTACCATGTTTCGAGAGTAAAGATCCAGTCTTTTAATGTCGTACGTTGTAAGGACCGCTTCTAATTCACCTTTTGTTAAACCTAAAATGAAAGTACGGAAATTCTTCAATGATTATAAAAAATTAAAGGTAAGTTTGGTGTGGACGTAATAAGATTTTGTAAGGACGACGAATTTTGACTTAAACACAACTTCTGTGGGGACGTCAAGACTTTTAGGACGTGACCTTCTTGTGGCGCTGAGGTTTGTGTGCACGCCATATTTTAAGTGAGGGTGAGTTCTGTATCAAAGTCCTGGTTTCAGGGGACGTAGAGTTTATGTACGGACGATGACTTAAGCGTGAAAATCGAGTTTTGCGTCTACGTGAAATTTTCTGTAGGCGTCAAGTTTTGCGTTAACGCTGAGTTTAGTGTGGACGTTAACTTTCAAGTGGTTTTGTGGGCGTTACCCCTTCCGTGGACGCTGAATTTTGTCAAGTGTGAATAACGAGTTTTGAGTGGACGTCCAAAAAGAAATAACAGAATGAATACACCGAAATTAAACTCATGCAAACCTCTCTCTCCTTCTTTGACGCTTTTGTTCTTCAGTATACTCAGCGCTAATGACGGAGAATAACTACGAAACTGATAAGAAAGGAGAGACAGGAAGCGCCTGCGGAAATCTGCCAAGGTAAACAAATGGACAAAAAAAAATAAGTATATTATAAAAATCTACCCAGAGATTTTTTACAGAGAGAGATTTTTAACAGAAATCGTGCTTACAAGCGTTTGTCTGTAATCATCGTGTATTGTGAGACGGGACCGAATTATTTCGTCTAGCCTGCGTAGCAAGCGTAAAGCAGGGGGGAGGGGTATTGGAAGCGGGGATGCCTTCTTCCGCGCGTTTTTCGCTTCCTCTTCCACATTTACGCGTATAACGCAAGCTATGTTTCTTCAAAAAGGCCCACCCTGTTTTAGACCGGGAAAGTTTCAAATACCGCTCGATCAAGCCTCAGGACGAAGAATGGTAGATGAAAATTACGCCATAAGAACATTACGAACATTATTCTAAGAGTCGTTAACATACTTAAACGTCTGCGTAATACTCCAGGGATTGAGAAAAACTCTTCCAATTGCCAGTAAAAATGCACCCCTCAACATGGCGTCAAAATACTTACCAGCCATGTAGGCTTGCAGCCAGTTGTCACTAGTGTCTTCTTCGGAATCAGTCAAGCGTCGCAACATAATACAAGAATGTTCACCGGTCAAGTCATTCTATAAAGTAGAGAGAAGTTAGTGTTGTTAGTACTAAAGGCAACACAGGAAACAGTTTATGGGGAACGTTTATGGGACTTTGTAGAAGAGGGCTTGGTAAAATGGGGTATCATCTTACCCCGAAGAAAAGGAGGGATTATAGTGGAAGAGGGAAGGGTGGGGAAATGTTTACAAGGCAATGCGTTGAAGTTCTGCAAAGAAACATTCAGTCAAATAAATATATAAGTACTGAACTGAAATAAAAACTCGTTAGTAAAAAAGTATACATAGAGCCCATCCTTACTGGAGTTTGCCGCAGGTATACAGGAACAAAGCCAGATCTCTTCCAAAATCTAAGAATCAGAAAGAATACGTCAATTTCAGTCACCAGTTAGTTTTATTTTTCCCATAAAGGGTTAATTATACAGCCTGATGGTTAGTGCAATAGACCGAGTCGAGAGGCTCAGTTAGGTTCAGCAATACGCTTGTTATAATGAGGCAAAACCAATACAGGTGTACATGTACTTCTAATCTGACAAGGGATGCTATCGAGAGGACAATTTTTTTTGTCAGTGACGCGAGCTTCATTTCGGCAGATGGTAAATCGTGGAACCAATTACGACGTTGCTCTTCACCATTGAACATTGTGTCAAATAAATATACAATGTAATAAACTATTAAATTATTTAATAATGTATGTTAATCAACGTACCTTAGCAGTTGTACCGTCAGTCCGTATGAAACACCAAGATAATCAAGTTGTTCAGCCGGTCGCTCACTAAGTTTTAACAACAAAGGCGGCAGATTACTTCTTGGAGAAATCACCTCTTCCAATAAACCTACTTCCTGCAAAATAAATAAGAATACACAACAAACCGAATGTTTAATTTCAGTCAGAGCCTTAATTATCTTACGAGGCAAAGAAAGGGCGGAATCTCCGTCTCGCAGGGTATGCCTTTATGCGAAAAAGAAAAAGAACTATCGATATTTAAACAATCGTATAAAAGCAAATTTAGCAGGACGAATCCTTGCTCTGCAGATGCTGTTTCATGTTATTGTAACAGTAATTGTAACCGCTTCGAGCTTAGTGGTTTTTACTGAGATACGAAGCCAATATTTGAAAATGTCTTGGAAATGACTTTTAGAAATCGTTTTGATGCAGTGCGTTTTCGTTCAAATGAGTTTCCACTGTTTCAAATGTTCCTAAATACATTCTTCATATTTTAAAGTGCGTTTAAATGGAAAATGGAAAGCTGGTCCATCGCAAAGAGAGCCACATTCTGTCGATATTTACCTCATCTCCAGTCAAAGTTGAAATTTGTTTATCTTCCTGGCCTTCTTCAGATAAACTGGGAATTTTGCCTTCATAATACTGAATAAGAAGGTTCATTGCTCGTTTGCCATATCCCATCTATTGTTGAAATGAAGAAAAGTGACAATTAGAATGATTATGATTCCAAAGATCGTGGCACCTTGAAGGTGAAAGGAACAACTCTCAATCTTAGGAAATCAAAACGTGATGTCATTACCATGAGAAATAATATGTCACATACGAGTAACCGTGTTTTACCAATTTGCAAACACCGAGAAGAGTGCTGAGAATACGACGCGCACAGAGAGGTATTTTTGACGAGCTTTGAGGTGATTAGAAATACGCTAATTAATAACAATCCTGAGTGTTTGATGACACTTCTCAATCGAAGCTAAAACTAAGGAGAAATCGGAAAAATAAAATCGCTAAAATCTATGCTAATAAAGATGACTTATCCACATACTGTCACGGTTATGATTACCTTTGTCTAAACTTGATGAATGAAATATGAAATGAGATTGAGAAACATAACTTCAACTTATGGAAGCAAAGTCAGTTGACAGGTTTAAAGTGTCCGCTATAAGCTAAATATAAACTACTCAAATTAGATATAAACTAGAAAAAGTACTCAGACTAAATTTTGAAAAAAAAAATTAGCTACATCATAATGGTTTTCATTAGACTCAAGATCATTAGTACGAGGTCATACCCCTTGAAAGTCAGGATGGGTGGCAATTCTGACGATTCTCCCGCCAGACAGCCCAGCAAAGTCATGATCATTGAACTGCTGTGAAACTGTCCATGGTATAAGATCCCCGGATGCTCTTTTGCCACGTGACAGACTGTTCATGATGGACGACTTTGAAATATCACCTTCAAGGCAAACCTGGTTCAGAAACGTATGAGTTAATTAGAAATCGGATGGCTTGATCAATCATCGATTTAGAGAAAACTGTCACATGCACAAAATATGTTGCACAATGCCTCAGTTGGGTTCTCTGGGAACCCGTGAATGTTTGGTAGTGCAGTGTCTTAAAAAGAAAAAGAAGAAAGACCAACAAATACTTTAAACGAGCTACGTCACAGTTTGTGCATCTTGAAAAGTTGAGCCTAAATTTTTCAAGTTCGCCGTTTGTAATCCGTGTTAATCTTCTCCATCCTTAACCATCCTTGTTTCTTTATGGTTTATTATTATCTCTTTCGTGATTTTTTATCTTAGCAAACTACTATTTTCAGGTTTACTTCAATTTAAAGGTAATTTTATTTGAACGTGGCCAAAATAACTTTTCATTGGACATGAACACGGGCAATTATGACATCCTCTTGCACATGTTTGGCGCGGTTTTTACCTGCAGGACACAGTACACTTCTGGTAAGGTATTCTGAGCTGGATCAACAGGACCCAGCAAACAGAAAATATGGTGAGCTGGTGCATCAGATAACAGCTGAAGGTCATTTGGAGTGTTCTGTGAAGGTAACATGAAAAGGCGGCTACTGTTAAGCTATCATTTTTTTTTTTTTTACAAAATCACCTTAAGTTTGTTTAAACTACCTGACTGTATAATATACATTACTTGCACAAATTTCGGACGATTTTAATTTCGGACAAAAGAAGTGCCCGAAAATAAAACCGTCCGAAATATTTACAGTACAGTAGGAAACTTTTAAGTAACTCCAAAGCTCTTAGTTTCCTTCATGAAGCGAACTCTTGGTAAGACACGACTTGAGATACATGTACTTAACGGTGTGATACGATTTCTGTTATTTTCTCGTCGGTGTATCTGTAAAAATCTTGAGGCTGCAGCAAAACTATCATTTTCACAGATGTTGTTTCAACCTAATTTGTTTTGTTGGCGTAAACTTACTTTAGCTATGTTTCAGCAAAGTGTTCGAAATTTTTGTCCGAAATTTGTCCGAAATGAGAGAAAAAGTGTCCGAAAATCACACGTCCGAAATCTTTTGAAAGTAATGTATGAGATGACTAAGAATGAAAAATCCTGCAAAGATTATCTAAAAACAGAACTGTAGCTACATGTGCATGTAGTTCCCCTCAAACGAAACACCAAAACTATCAATTACCTTGTAATGAGAAGCCACATAAAGAGCCATAAGTCTTTGCAGGAACACTTCAGATGCTTTGTGGTATGAGAACAGTGTGTCACGGTTGACGTAATATCTGATGAGCAGAATTAAGTTGATATGGGCTGACAAAAACAGAGTAACTGTGAAGAACAGCTTCCGAACAAACCTGCCGGTTGAATGTCCGCCATCTGTTGGCCGACTGTTGGCCGTATGTCGGTCAACTGTTGGTCGTTTGTCGGTCGTCTGACGGCCGACAATTGGCCAGCTCTCGGCCTCCTCTCGGCCGCTGTCGACCGTTGGCCGACTGTTGTCTGCATTCAGTTACAGGGAGTGAACGAACGACCTAAACTCCGGGCGAAACTGCACACAGACCAAATTTCTTTTTACCGTGTTATGTTTATTTCAAAAAGAGGTGTCAGTCATAAAGTTGTTGGTAAATGAAGGCAGGATAAATGCCTTTTTGGTACCAGTATTTTGACAAATGAATTAAATGATCTTACCCAAAGCCTATGAAATGCCTTACAATGTCAAACTTGAGGTGTGTTGAGGCTAATTTGGAAATCGTTCAAGACGTTATACTTACTATTTAACCTAAATTTCCACAATTTCATTTGGAATTAAATTGAATTTCTCCACTTATTTGGAAAATGCGTTACGATATACTTGTACTGTAAATGCAGACGTCCACTGTACATGTATGTTTTGAGGTCTTTTTAACCCAGTGGGTATTTATGCGGTATGAACCAAAAAAATTATCATTTATTTGTGTTTGACTGATTGTTTTTCAGTTCCATCCTTGTACACTTTCCTCCAAATTGTAATTGAGTGCCGGCTCACCTGGTTGGTTGGTTGGTTGGTTGGTGAGTTTGGATAGTCACACAAACTGTTTTTGTTTGTTTTTGTTTTTCGTTCAAAAGGTAAGTTCCAACAGCTGTTTGACCAGCCCGTTCTTTCATACAGTAATGATGGTACAAGTCGTACTCACAACAATTATTATTAGACTACCAGTAGTCCCTCTTTCGCTTAGTCCGTCGTGCGTGAGGCGAAAGAAAACCGCGGGAAAAAAATCTGGGCGCGAGAGGCGCGCGAAAGTAGGGTCCCCACGATTTCGCGCGGCAATTTTTTTCCTCGCGGTTTTCTTTCGCGTCACGCACGACGGACCAAGCGAAAGAAGGACTACCCGTAGTCTAACAATTAAAGGAAAGGATACAAATCACAGTTTTCGGGCAGTGGACAACCTGAAGTCAGTCTTTGCACCACCGTGGCATCTAAACAGAGAAGGTGGTTCAACCACCTCTCCACCTCATCACCAGGGGCATAACGGATTGACTCATTCAGTGTTATCTCCTGAAGGCTGCGACCAAGAGAAGCAGAGCTGCTGCCTTTGTTGGCAGACCCTAGAGTTGTGCTCTGTTCTCGCAGCTGTTGGATCAGTTTCAAGGAGAGTGATCGCCCCGTTCCTTCATATCTGAAAGATGACAAAAATTAACAAAACAAACATTTATTTCAACTTAATCGGTAAGATGAAAATAAAAAATGTTTCAACAACTGCACAGTAACTGAACTATTAAGTATAAAGAGTACAATAACATAAATTGGGCAACAGATGTAAAGTACATCTGACTAAAAGAGTGAACATAAAAAGTAAATTTACATGCAATATACTACATATCTTGGAATTAATTTAATTCGTACTGTACATACTTCTTTTATTGAAAGTTACTCCTTCACCAAAACTACAAGGAAGACTTACGTTAACTACCGATTGCAAAGTCTTAGTCATATTTATGTACTTCCAAGACAAACACTTCTCTCAGCCTTACCCGTTTACAGTTGATGACAAAAACACAAGGTATGGTCCCATGAGATCTTTAACCAGTGGAAGAGGGATGGCAGCAGCCTCGTCAATGACCACCAACTCCGCCTGACCAAGTTTGTGTGAATCTGATGGGTGGATGTACTAAATGGAACATTCAGTTGTCAGGTTTACATTCTTCAAAACATTGCACAGTCACTGTCATAGACTGGAGAACTGACAGAATGATCCTTTTACTGGCTAGCATCATATGAAGAGACACAGTATAGTGCATGGAAAGGGCTACAAAGCTCCAGCGACTTTGATGTATTACAACCCTATTATGCTGGCCAGTTGAAGTTTGGGATTACAGAGTGAGAAGCAAAAAGCCACAAAATTCTCATGGCTTTGATCACTTGCATTACATGCAACTAAAGAATTGGGTCACGCTTAACATTTGCGTATATTGAGTTATGGATGCATGTGGGAAGTTTGGAGAGCACGAGAGAAGTGTAAGAGTTGCTTGAGGCGATAGCTGAGAGCAACTCTAGCTTCTTGAGTGCTCTCCAAACTTCCCAAGTGCATCCATAACTCGATATATACACAGCTAAAAGCATGAACCAATTCTTTTATAACATA